GCAGCCTTTAGGGTGAGGCTTTGCCCCCAGGTCAACTACACTGAATCAAAGGTAAATAATATACATGAACACTTCTCATCTTTATCAGAAAGGCTGTTCCATGAGTCCGGGGATTTAGCTCAATGGTTCTGCCGCTTGCAAGGCAGGTGCAAGGATGTCAGTTTAATTCCTGCTACCAAAAAGAAAAAGAAATAAAAAAAGAAAGGCTGTTCCTTCTCAACCCAGTCTGGATGGGGAATGCCCAAGGTCATTCTCATTCTCTGTCCTAACTAGATGCCTAGCTGGCACCACCTCTCTGTAAACCTGATTTCTGTCTTTTTGTTTTTTAATTTTTTTGATGCGGAGAACCAAACCCAGGGCCTCACACTTGCTAGACAAGCATCTACTAATGAGCTAAATCCCCAATCCTTGTAAACCCGATTTTTATTCAGCACATAATTCACAAATATGCTTTACTATGCATTTATACACAAATATGTTACCCACCTTTTCTTTCTTCAATTTTTTAAACTGTTTTTTAGTATACCTACTAGGAGATCTCCTAAATTCTTGGGAGATAAGAATACATGGATGTCTGCTTGCCTAACTACTTCTCTCTGGTTTTAAAGTAACATCTTTTTCACAAGCCTAGGAATGTACAAGGCCCTGGGGTTGTTTTTGTTTTTTGACACAGGGTCTTGCTACATGGCCGAGGCTGGCTTCAAACTTGTGATGTTCCTGTCTCAGCTTCCTGAGTGCCACCAGGCCCAGCAAAAAAGAAAAAGAAAACACTTAATTAGACCTGGGCGTGTTGGAGCACGCCTGTAATCCCAGCACTGGGGAGGCTGAGACAGGAGGATTGCTCTGAGTTTGAGACCAGCCTGGGCTACATAGTGAGTTCCAGGTCAGTCTCAACTACAGAGTGAGACCCTGTCTCAAAAAAAGACCAAAAAAACAAACAAACAAAAAAAACCAACAAGAAAAACCAAACAAAACACTGAATTACTCAGTTTGAAATTTGTTATAAACTGTTCATTAATCAAACTTGTTCTGCATCATATACAGTATATGAGACTTTAAACATACAAGGGGGATTATGGCTAAAATACATACAAAGTACCTATTAGAACAATTCATTGTTTTATTGTAACACCCTTTGATACAATGTTTAATCATGTATGTGTGTGTATACATACATTTTGTGTGTATGTGTATCTGTGTGATGCTAGGCAATGAATCCAGGGCTTCATGCATTCTAGACAAGGGCTCTACCACTGACTTATATCCCCAGCCCTGATAGTTAATTATATTTGAAACAGTATTAATATGCAAATAAGAAATAAGAAGGCAAATCCTTTCAGCTACAGAAGCCAGGGAACAAACAGTGCCTTGTTAACCATCTGAAAGAGGTCAAGGTTGCTTGAACTACATGGAGCAAGAAACCTACAAACACAATGACCACTCAAGAATAAACAGGCTGGGGATGTAGCTCAGCACTGCCGCCAACTGCGTGGCAAGCACAAGGCCCTTAGCTCGATTTCCAGGGCCAAAAAATAAAATGAAATAAAAAATTGAAATAAAAAGAATAAATGAGACCAGTCATGGTGGTACAGGCCTATAAACCCAGCACTCAAAAGGCTGAGGCAGGAGGATTATAAGTTTCAGGCCAGCCTGGAAGAGACAGTGAACTCAAGGTAAACTACGACTACACAGAGGGACTTGGTCTTGGGCCAGATTTAGCTCAGTGGTGCCGCATCTGCCTGGCAAGTGCAAGGTCCTGAGTTCAATTCCCAATACTGGTGGGGAGGGACTTGGTCTCAAAAAAAATTAAAACAAACAGAATAAAAATAAGTGAATGAATAAAACTACATACATATGTAAAAATATTTTTCTACCCAAGGAGAGCCAGTAATTAGGTAAAGCAGTGAATAAAAGCCATCTCTTTGGGACTAGGGTAGAGTGCCTACTACCAATGTTCAAGACTGTGGCTTCAATCCCTAGCACTGGAAAAATACTTTTTAAAAAGTAATTACTATGGTTTAGGTTCCTTCAATAATTCAACAGTGACAAATATGAGATCAATATTATCCATCAGTTTTTTTTTTTTTTGGTACCAGGAAAGGATGCTGTTCTTGCCAGGCAGGCACACTGCAAATGAGCTAAATTCCTGGCCCTAAAATTACTTTTTTCGTTTGGGGGGGATACTGGGGATCAAACTCAGGACCTTGGAAATGCAAGGCAGGCAAAAGAACCACTGAGCTAAATCCCCAGCCCTAAAATTTTATCTGTCTGTCTGTCTGTCTATCTATCTATGTATTTTTTGTTTATTTGTTTGTTTTTTGAGACAGGGTCTCACTATGTAGTTGAGACTGACCTGGAACTCACTAGGCAGCCCAGGCTGGTCTCCAGTGATTGTCCTGCCTCTGCCTCCCAAGTGCTGAGATTATAGGCATGCGCCACCACGCCCAGTCTAAAATTGTATTTTTTAAAAAGGCTCTGACATTCTAACTTACCCCAAATCACAGAGCTACAAATAGGTACAGTCTGAGTTGATATTTAGCCTTTCTTACCAAATATCTACTATTTCTACCATACCAAAGTACAGCAGAGAACTCATACATGGTGGGGTTTTGTTCCTCTTTGTTAAAGGTGTAGATTTGCCTTTAGAATGTATTTTTAAAACCTCTACTATCAAATAAGAGAAAAGGAGAGGCCGGGGATTTAGCTCAGAAGTGCTGCACCTGCCTCAAAATCACAAGGTCCTGAGTTTGATCCTGGTACCAATACAAAACAAAACAGGCTGGAGCGTGGTGGCACATTCCCATAATCCCAGCACTCAGGAGGCTGAAGCAGAAGGATCACTGTGAGTTTGAGACCAGCCTAGGCTACATAGTGAGACCCTGTCTCAAAACAAAAACAAATAAGAGATAAGGAAAAGTTTCTATTTCAGCTGATCAAAAATGAAAGAATGACAGAATTAAAATACCACTACACAGTTAACCACGCTAACCTCATAAAATAGAGGAAATACTCATGACACACAACCCTCTACGAAGCAGAACTAGCACTAAAAATAAAAATCAATTTTAAATCTAATCAAGGATTATATCCAACTATCAATTTAGGAGGACAGAAAACACCTTAAAAGATACAGATAAACCTTACAGATGTGATAACAGCAGTCAGAACATAGGCAACACTGTGTGATAAAGACCAAGTCCCACCAACAAACTGTAAGATAAAAGCAATCCCTGGCTAGTAAAAATTACTAGATTATGAGAAAACTAGAAACTTGTACATTTACCATTTTTTGGCTGTTTTTAAATATTAAGACAATACCAGTTATTTTTAAAGCGTGATAATATTTTGGTGATTTGATTGATTGATTGTGGTGCTGAAGAACAAACCCAGGGCCTTGTGCATACTAAGCAAGCACTCTGAATTTTTACTGTTTCCTCTTCTTGGTACTGGGAATCAAACTCAGGACCTTGCACTTGCCAGGCAGGCACTGCACCTCCGAGCTACACCCTCACCCAGCAGCACTCTCCTGCTAAACTGTGCTCCCAGCCCACAAGTGATTCTTCTGGCCCCTTCACCCGATTAATCCCTCCATGCTGCCTGGGGACTGAACTCAGGGCCTTGTGCATATCTGACAAATACTTTATCATTAAGTCACAACCCAGCTTATCCATGATTTTATTTTTAGTTATTATGTTTTAGAGATACAATGAGATACCAATGAAAAGTTTGTTTCAAAAATAATATGAAGGGGGCTGGGGATTTAGCTCAGTGGTTCAGCCTCCTGCCTTGCAAGCCCAAGGACTGGAGTTCAATCCCTGGCACTAAGTAAATAAATAAATAAAATGAAGGTGAGATTGAATAAGGCTGTAAAGTAGAAGTGCCAAACTTTTTTTTTTTTTTTTTTTTTTTTTTTTTTTTTGGAAGGAT